GTCGATACGAACAATGTCTTGCCAGACGATTCTGCCTGCACCGATATTGAGATGACCGACCTCGGAGTTGCCCATGAGCCCATCGGAGAGACCGACTGCGGTTCCATGTGCTGCTAGCTGACGGGAAGAGTGGTCTTTGGCGAGTGTGTCCATGTGGGTGGTTGTTGCGGCATGGATGGCATCACCGCGCCCGCCTGGAGTTGGAGAGATTCCCCAGCCGTCGTGGACAATCAGGCAGACTTTGTGAGGCATTGTAGAGCGGCCGCAAATGGTGAAAAGGTGAAAGCAGGTAAAGACGAGTAGATGTCGATCGATGGAGGACGCGTAATAGGTCGTGGGAATATTGGGGGGTACTTTTATCGAGCCATTCCACTCTGGACTCACTGGTCCTTTTTTTTCTCTCTCTCCTTCAACCATGTCCTCCAAAGGTGAATGAGCTCATCGTCCTTCGCGTTGACCAGCTGCTGATCCCTCGCTGTAGCGATTCGCGAGTACGATGCCAAGCTATTGCTTAGCTACTGGCTCACTCGCTCGCCGTTGATCAACTCATCGCTTCAGCTCGCGCCGTCTGCAACACCCGCTTACCCGCGAGTTGCTCAGGTTCTCTGGGACGAGGAGAGCAAGTCCCTCAACCCTGCAGATGCTCTGCCCCGATGGGTCACAGAGTCTGGCCTCAAATTCGTAGCAAAGCCTGACCAGCTCATCAAGCGACGTGGAAAGGCCGGGTTGCTCGCTCTCAACAAGAACAAGGACGAGGCATACCAGTGGATTGCTGAGCGTGCTGGAAAGATTCAAAAGGTGAGTGTTTGACACAAGCACGCGTCCATCGATGATCGATCGCGCCTTGTCCTCGCGTCGCCCACGTGCTTACTCTTCTCTCAATTCAAGGTCGAATCCGTTTCTGGACCTCTCACCTCCTTCATCCTCGAACCCTTCCTCCCCCATCCGAGCAACACAGAGTACTACGTCTGCGTCAACTCATCACGTGAATTCGACACCATTCTCTTCACGCACGAAGGCGGTGTCGACGTCGGTGATGTGGATGCTAAAGCCCTCAAACTCAACATCCCCGTCACAACCTCCTCCAAAACTCAGACATTCCCTTCCAAACAAGAGATCAAAGACACCCTCCTCACTCACGTAGACTCTGAAGAAAAGAAGGACGCCCTCGTCGACTTCCTCGTTCGTCTTTACTCTGTCTATGTCGACCTCCACTTCGCCTACCTCGAAATCAACCCTCTTATATGCTTGGGTTCGGGCGATAGCAAATCTGGTAAGGTTGAGATCCACTACCTCGACATGGCTGCCAAACTCGACCAGACCGCCGAGAGCATCGTTGGTCAAAAGTGGGCTATCGCCCGTGACTTGTCGGTCTACGAGTCTTCCGCTACCGACACCAACGCTGCTGCCACCTCCAAGGGCGGCAAAGTTACCACTGATCGTGGTCCCCCCATGGTCTTCCCTGCACCCTTCGGTCGTTCCTTGACGAAGGAAGAAGCTTTCATCCAGAAGTTGGACGCGAGTACTGGTGCTTCCCTCAAGCTTACCGTGCTCAACCCAGAGGGTCGTGTCTGGACTATGGTTGCCGGTGGTGGTGCCTCCGTCGTCTACTCTGATGCCATTGCCGCGTGTGGTATGTAACATTCCTTCTTCTGGCACCTACTGTATGCTAACACTTCCCTTAGGCTTCGCCGACGAGCTCGCCAACTATGGTGAATACTCTGGTGCCCCCACCGAAGGCCAGACCTACGAATATGCCAAGACCATCCTCGACCTCGTCACCCGTGGTACCCCCAACCCCAAGGGTAAAGTTCTCATCATTGGAGGTGGTATTGCCAACTTCACCAACGTCGCCGCTACCTTCAAGGGTATCATCCGTGCCCTCAAAGAGTTCAAGCAACAACTCATTACGTCCGGTGTCAAGATCTTTGTCCGTCGTGGTGGTCCCAACTACCAGGAAGGTCTCAAAGCCATGCGTCTCCTCGGTGAGAGCCTGGGTGTCCCCATTCGCGTCTTTGGACCCGAGACACACATCACCGCGATTGTCCCTCTGGCATTGGATGTAGAGCCCAAGAAGTCCTCCGGCGTTCAAATCCCCAAGAGCGTCCAGCCCTCCGCCCCTGGTACCCCCCGCGAACCCAAAGAACCCATCGCGACCTCCTCCGATGCTCCCGTTGGTGCCATCCAATCCGATGGTTCTCGTACCCAACCTGGCGACCAGATCGTCCACTTTGACACCACGAAATCCCAAGGAAGCAAGCGCCCCTGGTACCTCCCCTTCGACAACACCACCCGTTCCTTCGTGTACGGTCTCCAACCCCGTGCTATCCAAGGCATGCTCGATTTCGACTACTCGTGTGGTCGTCAGACTCCCTCCGTCGCTGCCATGATCTACCCCTTCGGTGGGCACCACATCCAGAAGTTCTACTGGGGAACCAAGGAGACTTTGCTCCCCGTGTACACCTCAGTCAAGGATGCCGTCGCGAAGCACCCAGACGTCGATGTCGTCGTCAACTTTGCTTCTTCCCGATCGGTGTTGGGATCGACGATGGAGATTCTCAAGGGTCACTCCGATGCTATCAGGTGTATCGCCATCATCGCTGAAGGTGTTCCCGAAAGACACGCAAGGGAGATCCTCTGGGAAGCCCACGAACGTCAAGTCCTCATCGTCGGTCCTGCCACCGTCGGTGGTATCAAAGCCGGATGTTTCAAGATTGGAAACTCGGGTGGTATGATGGACAACATCATCGCTTCCAAACTCTACCGTGCGGGTTCCGTCGGATACGTTTCGAAATCGGGAGGAATGTCGAACGAGTTGAACAACATTCTTTCGTTGGTGACGAACGGTACCTACGAGGGTATCGCCATCGGTGGTGACCGATACCCCTCGTCGACGTTCATCGACCACTTGTTGAGGTACGAAGCTGACCCCAACTGTAAGCTTCTCGTTCTCCTCGGTGAAGTCGGCGGTGTAGAAGAATACCGAGTCATCGAAGCCGTCAAGTCGGGCAAGATCACCAAACCCATCGTCGCTTGGGCCATCGGAACGTGTGCAAAGATGTTCAGCACCGAAGTTCAATTCGGTCATGCGGGTTCCCTCGCCAACTCGGATATGGAAACCGCGGATGCTAAGAACCGTGCGATGAAGGAAGCTGGGTTCCTAGTCCCCGATACGTTCGAAGATCTCCCCGTCGTTCTCAAGGAGGTTTATGGATCTCTCGTTCAGAACGGGACCATCACCGAGCAGAAGGAGAGAGACCCACCTGCTATTCCTATGGACTACAAGTGGGCGCAGGAACTCGGACTCATCCGAAAGCCAGCTGCGTTCATCTCTACCATCTCCGACGAGCGTGGTCAAGAGTTGCTCTACGCTGGGATGCCCATCTCCTCCGTGTTCCGTGACAACCTCGGTATCGGTGGTGTGGTCTCGCTCCTGTGGTTCAAACGTCGCTTACCGGAGTGGGCGACCAAGTTCGTTGAGATGGTTCTGATGCTTACTGCTGACCATGGACCTGCTGTGTCGGGAGCGATGAACACGATTGTGGCTACTAGGGCTGGGAAGGATTTGATTTCGAGTTTGGCTTCAGGTCTTTTGACGATTGGAAGTCGGTTTGGTGGTGCGTTGGATGAGGCTGCGAGTATGTTTGGGGAGGCGAGGGATATGGGGTTGACGCCGAGGGAGTTTGTGGATGGAGCAAGGAAGGCCAACAAGCTCAGTATGTCGTCTCTTTCTTTCCATCTCTGAAGATGCACTAACGACTTGCCTTACCCCCTAGTCTCTGGTATCGGCCACAAGATCAAGTCGGTGAACAACCCCGATTTGCGTGTCGAGCTCGTCAAGGAGTACGTCAGGAAGAACTTCCCGAGCCACTCGTTGCTCGACTATGCTCTCGCAGTTGAGAAGGTGACGACGAGCAAGAAGGATACTGTGAGTCTTTCAAACCTTTTACCTCCTTCGGGGATAACTCACCAACGTTCATCGATAGCTCATCCTGAACGTCGACGGATGCATCGCCGTCTGCTTCGTCGATCTCCTCCGTGACTCTGGTGCCTTCACCCCCGAGGAAGCTGATGAGTACATCAAGGTGCGTAACGAACGTGTTCTCATGTATTTGTCCTCCTTTGCTCATTCGCGATTCCTTTTACCCTAGATCGGTACCCTCAACGGTCTGTTCGTCCTCGGTCGTTCCATCGGTTTCATCGGTCACCACCTTGACCAGAAACGTCTCCGTGCACCTCTTTACCGTCACCCCGCCGATGATATATTCATCAACATGGCTGATGTTTCTCAGCCAAGGGTGTTGGGTAAGATGGCTTAAGCGGCTAGTCGGGTAAGGGATGGACTATACTTCGCCCATTTGGAAGGAAGGAAGGAACGCCTCGACTCTTTTTCTTTTTTTCCCCATGCCCTAATACTTCGCCCCTCACGCTTTCTTTTCCTTTGCGCTTTGCTTGCTTCCGGTTTCTGTACTCCTGGGTAGGGAGAAAAAAAATTACTTTGTACATATACGACACACCACCACCATACGATACTTAGACATGAAGACGTACCTCCGAATTAAGGAGTCTTTTTTACTGCTACGTTTTACCTGGCCTATAGAGGTCGAAAGAAGAATAATGAAGTTTGTTTCCTCTTTGACTTGAGTCGTGAAAGGCCCGTGCAGTCGTGTGGACTGTGACGCCGTCGTAGGCTACCCTGCCTTCGGGCTCACAATGCCGCATTAGCACAATGGTAGTGCATCGCTTTCCTATGACAGGTCGGTGAAACACGATGTACAATTGAAGGCGAAGGTTGCGGGTTCGAGTCCCGTGTGTGGTTCACACTGCGTGACATCACTTTTTCACCGGGTCTGCAAATGGATGGCTCCAATGATCTTCATACACGACGCTTCGATTGCAATGGTAAGGGGCAAAATAGGCAATAAAAACACATCCGACCCCCGGTCGTAATGGCTAAAGTTCAAGTGAGGTTCAGCTACTATTTCTCCGTCTAAAAAAAAAACCACACACGGGACTCGAACCCGCAACCTTCGCCTTCAATTGTACATCGTGTTTCACCGACCTGTCATAGGAAAGCGACGCACTACCATTGTGCTAATGCGGCGTTCACCGTCGAGTTCTTCTCTGCATCGGAGCTAGATCGAAGCCACCGACCAGTAAGGGTTCCCGCATGCTGAACTCAAGGTTCGAGGTAAGATTTGGTGATTATCACGAGGCCTTGATATTGGGATTAAGATTGAAGCTCGTCTTCTGGGTCTCGGTAAAAGCTGTCTCCTACATGCTGTTGAGTTCTGATCTTCGGCGAAAATCCGAGTACATTCTCACACATGAGGAAGGCATGCATAAGGGATCTTAGTGTACATATAGTACGTCGGATCGAAGCCTCAAGGACGCCGCTCGTCCCTCGGCGCCCGGCGGTGACTGTCAAAGTGACCACTTGCCAAAGTTGGAAGGAGGCACCTACAAGCGCCTATAAGAAATCAAGAACCCTTTCCTCGGTGCCCAATTATGATGATGCCGCTTGCCGTTTGGCATCTGCCACGGCTCGCGAGGTTCAAATATCTCCCGCGCGCTGTAAGTCTCGATCGACATTCACTGGCAACATACTCAAGCCAAGTAAACAGCAGTGGCTCTGGCGCTCGATACTACGCCGCTTTGTGATAGGATTCCCCACGGTGGTCATCACTAATGCTGTTGAAAACTTGATCAGCGCCTCTTTGGTTGACTACTTGCCTTACCGGGTAGGAAGGCGAAAAGCATCCTTGCGCATAAAAACCACTGTTAGCGTGTTTTCAGCACAAGAGAATCCAACACACTCTCCAGGAGTACCCCAAGTTCAAAGCTGAGCGTTCTTATTTCGTTACAGCTGTTCAAATTACACTTGTCATCGCGATGCCAATTATCGCCCTTCCCCTTGCTATCTTGGGTTTGTTTAAGTTGTTTGGGTTTGGCCCACTTGGTCCCATCGCCGGTAAGCATCTTGAGACTCGAGCGTCGAGTTACAACTCACCTCTATTGCCCAACTCGCTCCCAGGTACCTTGGCCACCGCCATCCAGTCTACTTTCTATGGCGGGCAGACCTGCGGCCTCTTCTCCATCGCCCAGAGTATCTCGATGACCGGAATACTCGTCGGCTGGCCTATCGGAGGTACCCTCACCGGGCTCGTAGTGGCTGCAATTGGAGGAATCAGGCTGTTACGCCTCTAGGAGAGCTCGGTGAGCCCGCTTAATTCTTGAAGCAGTCATTACCAGCTGATTCACGTTCAGAAAGAATTTGAAGTTTACGAAATCCCCAGCTGAAGTTGTTGTCTGAACGTTTTCGATTCGAGTGTACATAGCCAAGCGACCCGTTTCTGATAGTTTTGGAAGAATTGTCGTATATCGTCTGCCATTCTGAAGCAGTCTGTTGCACATTAAAACGGTGTTGGTTGTCATCAAGACGACAAACATGAAATACGACGAGATTTAGGAAGACGCGAGAATCAATGATTGGGTGATCGTGCAATATCGCGTGGTCGCAGTAAGGGCATCAACAGTGACAGTGCGCGAGATCGATGCTCCAATTCAGATCGCGCTCGGCTGTAAACTTTCAGAGCTTCTCAGAGTGACCACTTGCCACCGAAGTTGAAGAAGGCGCCCACAAGCGCCTATAAGAAATCAAGAACTCTTCTTCAGCGCTTATATCGCTTGTCTTCCAACCACGCCTCGCGAGTGTCAGTATAGATCTCTCGCTCCCGCTGCGGGTATCGTTCTACATTCGACATACCCGGTAAAGGACACAGCAGTGGCGCTCAACACTATGTCCCTCTTTCGGATAGCCTACCCTGCGGCGGTCATCACGATGCTGTCGATGCTGTTAAAAAGAATAAGGTTATGCCACCTCGATTTGGATTCGCCATCATTGGTTGACTACTTTCCTTACTGGGTAGGAAGGCATGAGGTATCCTTGCGCATAAAACCCACCATTAGCGGGCGTTCAACCCCCCATTCTTTTTACCTTCCCCCCACCACACACAATGCAAGTATTCCAGTTCGACTTTTTCCTGGGGTTCTTCCTGGCCCTGCTAGACAAACTGCGTCACTTTTTCGGTCTTCCTACACATGACAGTCCTGGTCATCACGACCCTCACTTCAATGGCGACGTCGACCGATGGAGGGAATCAATGCAGTACGAGTTTAGGATCAACAACGTTACCGACATCAACAAGACTGTGTACGCGATCGAGACTGGTCTCAAATCGAATCCAGAGGTTCAGCAGGCGATGGGATATCGACTTGGAAACTTCACAACAGTACGATCCAACAGTGTTTGGCCCTGGACGGATTTCGTGTACGATCTGCGGATGATCAATGGTACGTGCCTTCGTTTCGTTCAACCTCATACGTGAAGCAGGCGCTGAATAGTTCGTCCTATGTAGATGAAGCACGGAAGTGTGAGCCGTTTTTTCGTGCTAAAATCTTCCGTCACGTAACGAGCTTATCCCTTTCCAGTACAACAGGAATCAGTCACGTTCACTACCATCAACCTCAATATCCCTTACACAGATGTGGCCAAACTAGCCATTCAGGGCATCAACATCGGAGTTGAAGGCGTCCAAGAAAGGTTCTCCGCTAGCGACTCCCATCCTAGGATTGACGCGTTATCGACACTTCCTAGAATCCCAAACTGGGATGAAGTCTACGAGCGTATCAAGCCCTTCCTCGATAATGCTCGTCGCGACCTCGAGCGTTTGGTGAAAGACGGCAAAGCCACATTCGAGGACGTCTACAAAGCAATCCACGACTTCATTCAAGTACAACTTGAACTCTTGCCCAAGGAGTTCCAACGCGCCATTCAGGAGTTCCACCGTTTCAAGTCTGAACATCCTTACATCGTCGCTGGTGCCGAAATTGCGCTCGTTGTTATCGGAACGGAGATCATCCTCCCCTACGCGTTTCTGGGTCTACTCAGGCTGATCGGATTCAGCGAGATAGGGCCTGTAGCTGGTAAGTAATAAGCCTTTCCTCTCATTAATCCGGACAAAGCTGAACGATGGCTCACCCCTAACAGGTGCCTGGGCTCCCGCCGTACAATCTGCCTTCTACGGTGGACGTACGGGCGGGCTCTTCTCCATCCTTCAGAAAATCTCCATGACCGGGAGACTCGTGTGGCCCTTGGAAGTATTCACAGACATCACAGCCGCCGTCGGAGGAACCATAGTCGTCATGCCTCCAGGAGAGATCAAGCGTCTTGTAGAAGGGTGGGCGGTTGACCAGCCGTTCCCGGTCAATCTGGCTCTGGAAAACGGTAATGTTGTCGCCGAAGGGTTCGAAACGTGGATGAAGGTCATGAAGGAGCGGATGGAAGAGGCACACGTCCCGCATGCTCAGTGGCTCGACGTTGCTATCGAGGCGCTCCGTCAGCGGATTGAAGGCTTCATCAAGCTTTGAGCTAGGTAGGCATTCCCGACCCCGGTGTTGGTTTGTGTCCGCTGATCCTCATATAGGCTGAAGACGCTGGCGACATGCGCCAAATCTTGAAATGGAGTCACATTAGAGGCTCATGATGGTTCTGGTTTTGAGTGTTGAAACGTTGAGTGGAGGCAACAATGTCTAACGATAGCAACTTGTAATTAGGCGGTTCCAACTTCGATTGTACTTTTTTGTACCCTGCAGCCCGTAGGTGTATCATGACGTGGAAGCCTTTCTTGTGGCCACTCTTTTGGCTACACTTTAATAAGGGTTCCCGCTTGACTGGCCGAGGGTACGTACCCTCAGTGGATCCGCTATTCAACAGTTATTTCATACTTCAACGATGGAATTTCGGTGGGTACAATCGGAGAAGACATGGAGCGTCCGAATAGGGACGCGTTAAATGCCCTGACTCACGAATAACTTTGTTTTTGTAGGCATACCTTGAACGTACAAACGGGAGGCGACTCGAATCGACCATTCTTAGTGTTTTCCAAGTCTCCCAGGTTGCTATGAAGCCAAATAAGCTTTTGCTTCTTTTGCATAATAGGTCTTTTCGTTACCTATTCAGAGAAAAAAGTAGCTTCCGCAGCCGCCCCATTTCCCATAAAAACCGTGGTACTACGAACTGGGCTCCCATTCCTCCCTTCCTCGTTTCCCACCAAACGATGCATTCCAGCAGCCCAAAGATGTCAGCCGCTCTACTCAACTGCGAGACCGTGATGAAGTCTCTCATAGAAAGACTCCGTGCCTCTCTTCTGGGGGTAGCCAGGCAGGCGATAGATGATGTCTGGTACCATCTTGAGCAGTTTTACGAAACTGTAAAGGATAGGTTCGGCGACACGCTCAAAGTCACCCACCAATTCCTTCAATTCCAACTCGAGCTCCTCCTACAGAGAGTACAACATGTTCTCCTGGAGTACGGCAAGTTCAAGGCCGAGCATCCTTATATCGTTGCGACCGCTCAGGCCGTACTCATCGCTGTCGTCACCATCGTTGTGATGATATATCTTCCCCCTGCTATCCTGAGTCTGCTTCAGTTGATCGGGTTTGGCACACTCGGACCCATCGCTGGTGAGCGCTTTGAGACTCGGTTGACGAGTTGAAACTGACCGCTACTGTTTTTCCCAAATTACTCCCAGGTACCTTTGCCGCCAGCATCCAGTCTGCTTTCTATGGCGGGTACACCTGCGGTCTCTTCTCCATCCTCCAGAGTGTCTCGATGACCGGAATACTCGGATGGCCCGTCGTGGCCATTCTCCAAACTGGGCTCGCCGCGGTCGCAATTGGAAGAATCGGTCGTCTGGCCTCCAAGAGAGCTTGGTAAGTCCACTTGATTCTTGAGGCAGTCATTGGCCGCTAATTCGCGTTCAGAAAGACTTCGAAGTCCGTGAAATCTCCAGCTGAGGTTGTTGTGTAACGGTTTCGATTCGAGTGTAGCCAACTTCCAAGCGACCCGGTTCTGGAAGCATTTCTTGATAGTTTTGAGTTACCGTGTATCGTCTCCCGTAGCTCGAAGCAGTTTGTTGCGTATCAAAGAAACATTGGCCCTGGCGACGAAGTTGAGCTGAAGTTTGAGTACGACGACTCACGAGATTCAGGACTCGGAAGGACGAGAACAACGTGAGAGTCAAGGATTAGTTGATCACATAA